TAGCTTTTTTTGAATCTTGAAAAGAATTTTGATTTTGAATTATTTCCTAAAAAATGCAAATGCATTTGCTTTATATATTCGTGCATACATCATATTAATTAACTTTAAATCAAAATTTTTTTCCTTTTCAATAATTATTCTTAATTCGATTCAATATTCAATCCTAAATTTTTTCATAATTATAATCGAATTTCAATATATAGATAAATAAATTAAACAGAACGAGAAAGAAGAATAATATATGTTCATCACTCATGTCCATCTCTAATCAAATAAATGAAATTATTTAGACGATAATCTTTAATCAAATTTTATATTTATATATATATAATTGATATCCCTATATATCCGAATCAAGATGATATGATAATTATATTTCACGACCTCATATTTTGATCGCTTCGATCTTCTCATCCTAGTACATTTAATCTCTGAGAAGATATAGATCTACCTCAACCTAATATAACCTATATTCTGTTTGAATTTCGAATCCAACCTTTTTCAAGGTGATTATAGAGTCAAACCTAGATAACCAGAAACAAATCTTTATTTTTTTAAGAAACCGATCCAAATAAAAAATTTCATTATAACGAGATTTCCTAAACATATCGAAATCTCTAGACTTCTCGTATCGATAAGCAAATTTCGCATAATCAAAACTTTTCAAGCTTCCAATAAATACATATAGACTACTAAATGGGCCAGAAATTACACCATTCTATCTAACATCGTATCGCATAAGAATTTGAAGGATAGTGATAATTCTAGTTTACCTATTTAGAGACATTTCGAAATCTATCAAGCCGAGATATTGCCATTTACAGATTGTCTTCTTACAAAAAACAGTTCGAATATTAAAAAATCGAAATTCAATATCCTATGCGAAACTTCCAGCGAAAAATGTATCGGCCGATTTCTTTCACAAAAATTTACGATGAAATTCATCTATTCAAGTCTCATCCTGACCGTTAAATTTTTTATATATCTTTTATTGTTCATGCACACAGGAATTTCGAAGAAATAGAATAAAACAAATATCACGAAGCTCCAAAAGTCAAAAGTGGCAGTGTTGTTATTACAATGTCACTGCATCGTGATCATTTGTTGAAGAGGTGCACGATTGATCCACAATCGTGTTACATGTGTCAAGGAGGTTTGGAACTCCACTTGCGGCAGGCCCATGCTACCAAGTACTTGCAAGTATCATGCCACTTGCGCGAGGATCGTCGAAGAAAATTGCTGACTTTCCCAACTTTTTCCCGCTAGCCTCCGATGCCAAACGGGCTCTCCTGCAGGCAATAGTAAAAAGTTCGAGCTGCAGCAAGGCCTGGGAAATTTTCACGACTCCCAAGCACTAAAGCATGAACATTGGAAGACAGTATCGCAAAGGCGAATTCCCATTTAAAAAACCGACTCGGCCTTGGCAGTGCCACTTTGCTTCGGCTGACATCTCTCAATGACCTTTGGACAAGCTCGACGCAAGCGGAAGGCATCGTTGCGCATATTGCACGAAGGTAGCAACGTCAAACATGCTGGATCGGCTACTGGCGCGCAGAGTGCGGTTACGGTAGTGCCAGATACGCCTGCCTGCAACATAGTGATGCATTGCCTGGGACTGCTGCACCGAAGCGTGCATTCACCTCCAGCCAAGGGAAGACCTTGCAGTCCCATTCGCTGTGCTCCCAGGTGTTAAGCTACTCCTACCTGCCTCGCCCCGTTGCACAAACGTTCCAGTCGAGGGGTGGATGCCCAGCATTGCCCAGCCCCAAGAGTTGAGTTCTTGCTTGACTAAAGGCAGCAGAGATTTCAGTGCTTTGCCGCTTGCTTGGTTGCCGACGTGACGATCCTGGCAAAGGCGAACTATTGAGCACTCAGAGCGTACTTCCATAGCCGTCGGAGTCCCGCATGTCACACGGTCGTGCCTTTGGTGCGTCGAACATGCCCAATGGGTCATCTTTGGCAGTCATAAGGAAGAGAACCTCTGAGGTCGTGGGCTGCAGCTTCAAGTGCCGATGATACAAACAGTGCGAGTCAGCTCATGAGCAGATAGACTCGGAACTACAAGGCACACGAGTCGATGTCGATGACAGAGAAGCAGACGGCAGGAAGTTACTGTCTTGTTATATTGCCTTCAGAATCAGCGGTGTTGGAAGGTCGGAAGTCGCGGTTCGAGCCTCTTCCCTCAGTGGCGACCAGTGATGGGTGCGTTGGATGGCACTGCGGATGTCCACTTGCCTGCGCTGCCCAAAGTGTCTCTTCAGCATGAAGTGTTGAACAGGATGGCCTGCTACGACCTGGAGGCAGGAATACTTATTAAGCACTTGTGAAGCAAGCCTGCTGCACACGAAACCAACAGTGTAGTCGAAAGAAAACCAAAGCGTAAACAAAATGGGTTACCGGGGATAGCAACGGGGACTGATCTACTATGACCTACTCATGGGTTGCGTGCAACCACGTCTTACCTTCGCAGCGAAGTCATGCAATCGCACGCGGCTCCGTTTCCTATGAGGGAATCATGCAGGGGCACAAACAAGTTCCGGCCTGAGGAGGTCAGCATTCGCCTCGATATCGCAACGAAGTGATTCCGAGGTGTTTTGGGGTTGTGGGCTGCTGACATGCGCTTGCAGTGCAGGGACGCCGCCAAAGGTTGCATTTGAAACGCCTCCCAATCAAATGCATGCCAACTCAATCAAGCTGAGGTGGAAGCATTGCGTATACTGGTAGGGTGGGCAACGGCCTGCACGAGCAAATCATGCTTCCGAACAGTTGCAGCCGAAGTTCAGTTTTTTGGCAAGTGGAGCTCTCGTCTGTTTGGGCAATCAATCTCCAAGGTGGGCATACAATTCGACCCACGATGTCCATCGAAGGCACCTCTTCCACAGCTACCTGCGTGTCCTGACGCTGGCTGTAATCCATCTGCTGCAAAATGACCTGGGGCAAATTCAAGGTGGCTGGCACGTGGTGGCCAATTCACCCATGTGTGTTTCGAAGGACTGGGCTTCATGCATTCGACAACATCATCAAACATTCCTGCACGCAACAAGAACAGGCCAGCCTTGTTACCTCGACCCGACGTCTGCAGTTCAGCAGTGCAGTGGCACCAGCAAGTTTCGGACAAACGGATGAGAAGCACGTCACACATACTGTATAAATTCTAAAAACTATCTACTTGTTGGACTACTGTGTATGCCGGTATCGCATCAACTTGTATATAGATGTACAGGTATATGTATATACATATAAACACCTGCACACACATTTATGCATATCTGTCCACATAGAAAAACATAAATAAACGCACACAAACACAAACACCCAAACACATACACATCTGCGCACACATCCGCACCCACACAACAAAGAAACAAAAAAGGTGCAAATGCGACCGCATACACATCCTTTTCATCCATCCACATAGGCTTACGAACCATGCACGCCCGCGTGTCCAGTGTGGATGCATGCTTGCCTGCGTTTGCTGGCTCGAAGCAGCAGGCGGAAAAGATGCGGAAGGAACTTCCGTCGCAATCATCCGAGCTATGCCTGTGCTTTAAAGGAGACCACAAGCTGCTCAACAAATGGCGAGGCAGGATTTTCAAGCGCGTTTTAATCTTTTAGAGCTAAACCTGAAGATCACATCTCTGCCCCACTTGAGAGCCAGTCAGATTCTGTGCGGCAAAAGTATTAGTATCATTAGCCTGCAACGTTTTGTTGCAGAACCAACCCGTCGAGCGGACTGCCAGTGATCTGTAACCACTTGCATCTACAGGAAGAGTTGGCCAGCTGTTTGTCTCACGGCTCGCTGCATCTGCATGGACCTTCCCAGGCGAGAAATCCGGATGTCATGCACAACGTAGTTCCAGATCTGTGCAGTATATGCTCAGGCAGCTGCCCGTTCTTCAGGTCTCCGCATCTTGCTAGATGGCATCCTCCTGCATGGCGACAAGTCACGTCACGATTGTACCACCGGATCACAAGTTCTAAAATTTCCAGATCTTTCCAGTAGCATGAAAGGTTGCTATGGTCAACCCTAGGCAGCTTCGATCAGGTCAGGGTTCCGTTCGTATGGCCGCAAGCCGGAGGGCCCTGCCATACCCTGCCCACCCTGTGCAATTCTGACTCATGCCGGCTTCTGTGATGCGGACACCTGGCCTGGCTGCTGCTGCTGCTTTCAGAGTCGCCGTTGCAGGTGGCCAAAGACTTGCCGTTTCGGTCCTTCTTGCAGACTCTCCTGTAGCAGCTTCGGAACTGCATGAACTTGTCAGAACTGGCAATCTATGGGATTTGCCTGAAAACATCGATGCTGACGCCTTGGGCTCATCAGAATTTCGGCGATGACTGCTAGTTGCTCGTGTTTAGTTCTTGGCTTGCAAAGACTCCCGCCTTGGCTGAATCGTGCTGCAAAGCCCCAGCACGGCGCCGACCACCAGCGACAGAAGCCACAAAGTGCCAGCATCTTCCATGGAAGTGCCGCCTTGGATCTGAATGAAGAGCCGTCATGATTCGTGTAATTGAAGAGCACTACAGTGTAGCTTGGTTGAGCACCTGAACACTTGCGGCACGGGAGACCTCCCCCTTCAATGTGCAAACCAGGCTCGAGTTGCAACGATCAGAACCGCCATTATCCATGGATGAAGTAAGTAAAGCCTCAGCTCGTGTGTTCAATGCATTCGGCTGCAGGCCTGTGCAAGTGCAACATGTTGCCGGCCGTTTGAGACCTCCGGAATGGTAGCAAGACAATTCACCAAGCGGAAGAAACCTACCAGGCTCGAAACAATCAAGTCTTGCATAAGAGCCCGAGGAACAATAGCGCCATGTTCGCCATGGATGCGGGAAGTGCTTTGCAATCAATGTGGCGACCAACCCTGTCGACAACAAGCCTGGTCGTAAGAGCAAAAGTTCACTCGACAAGCAGCTGGCTCCTGTCCAAGTGTTAGCTAGAAGCAAAGATGTGAGACGCAGACAAAACGTGCCGAGATGTCTTCCGCCCCTCGAACCTCGTTTACATGAGCAATGCGGCAGTATGCGGCAGTACCTGCTATGCCGGAATACGGCCATCCCCGTGCAAAGTGGGCTTTGGAACTGCTTTGAAGCTTCAGCTCAAACTGAAGCACACAGTTCCGGACATGTGCAGTTGGAAGCTGCGCGTGGCGTAGATGTTTGTGAGGCCGCTTCTCTTGAAAATAGCAATGCCGATGCAAAACCAGCACATGAGCCTGCTGACCTCTTGAATATCAGGCACAACCCAGGAATTGCACTGCTTCTAAAAGTATCACAATGCATGGTGCAGACATGCGTCAACAGCATCGACAGAACAACCGTAAGCAACCAACCATCTGCACCCAAGGAGCATAACGACAACGGCACCAGCAGCCTCACCAGACAGGTTTTGGCGTTCGCATGAAATAGCGACCGCTCTTCACTGCAAACCCAAGGTACATAGAGTCCGCGGTCCACCAAGCGCGGATAGTAAGGGTACGTCAAATTGCCTCCATGGGTCGGCTCTCTTCACAGTTTTTTGTTGCTGAAGCTGCGAAACCGTCTAGTAATCAAACTGCCTTGGAGTTGCAACATTCAGGGACAAACGAAACGGGGGTAAGCAAACGCTGAACTCAGCCAATCAAACAGTGAAACCCAAACAATTCAGCATTCGACGGGTTACGGTGCAGATTTGAGGGTTCTGTTAAGTGTGCCACCTGTTTGCAGTCATCGGATTCTCATCGGAATGACGGCACGGTGGGCTGCAAGCACTCAGTTTAATAAGTGCATTGCCTGGTGCCTGCCAGCTACAGACACTGTCAGTCCTACCCTCTGCCACCTTCGTAACAAACTCACAGTCCGAAGTTGCAGAGTCTGCATGCAGCACATGTTGTCGGGGTTGCAGTAACATATGAACGGCGTGCCGACTCAGTTCTGCGAAGTTCTGAACGGAAACTTGAAAAATAGCCTCCCAGGTGTCGGGAGCACTGCAATATACAGCACAGAAGGGTGCTTCACCACGGATGCAATAGCTGCAAAATACGGTGTTGGTTAATGCCAGCCGAATGAAATTTCTGCGACATCACCTTCTGTTGACGAAAGCCACAATACAAGCATTGTACAACCGATGGCTTTGCCCATGCTTACTTGCCTTGAGACGGCGACGGCAGCTTTCAAACGACTCATTTCACATGCTTCTTCGATCAACTTGTGACGTTGGTGTGTGATTTGCACTAGTTTCAAGCGTATTCATTGTGTTTCCGTAAGCTTAGCAACTCTACCAGCAGACACTCTCGGAAGAAGTTGTGGTGGACTTCGGCATGAATTCCTTCTGCATGCTTCTGTGTGGCTGTGAGAGGATGACCAGCTTTCGAGCAGCCACGTTAAGGTCTGATTCCAGAAAAAGTGCAGAAGAAGCAAAGGGAGATGGCTATGGAAACACAATCCTTGGAGCACAGGCGGTCGATCGGCGTCCTCGAGAAACACCTGAAAATGAAAGACTGAGCTTAGCAAAACTGATTTCCCTCAAAAAAGCTCCCAAGACTATTCAAACTATTCGCTGCCAACTGTTAATCACCAGGCCTCCCGCAAACCAGCTGGTCGAAGGAGCTGTTAAAGTTCCTTCTTGCGCAGAGGGGTGCTCCAGGGCGGCTTTCTCTGCTCAACGAAGACTGTGCCGCGTGACTGCACTCGTGGCGTAAGGAACTAGTCTAGTCTGATTCTTGCTGCTGCAGCGTGTCGAAGAATCACCAGCAAGGGCCAGTAGGTGCTAACCTGCAGGGCAGATGAACTGCAACACACAGTTCTACTCACACTGTGGCCTAACTGTGTCCCCTCACTCAGTCCCTGACGCTCTCACCAGCTCACCCACCTACCGACGTACCGACTACGCCCTCGTTCACCCTCTCACGAATCCACTTACGCACTCACCTTATCAGCCCAGTCGGTCACTCCACCCTCAGTCTCACTCACTACAGCCACTACACAACACACCTATGTTCTCACCCACGCACACTCTCCCTCACTCACAAGCGCCAAAGACACCGAACCTTGCTCAATGATCTGCCTTGACCTCTCACCGGCGGCTGAGACTCTCCACAAGTGCACTCCGAGCAGCAATTGGCAAGGCTTCCTCGCGCCCAGGTAGGCGTGACAATGTAATGATGAATCCTCAGCCGTCAGTAGCAAATTCTGTGATGCTTGCTGAGCAGCTGTAAAACTGGTGCATTAGGTTCGGAAGTCATCGGTCTTGGAGTAAACACGCTGAGTGAACTTTGTATCTGCTTGCATCTGCTATGTCTGAACCAGTCCAGGAATCCGAGCTGGAAGGACTTGTTAAAGCCTGTGAAAATGTACAGGATGAAGCCCTGAGCGAGAGCGGACAATTCCGACGGGAAGGCGCCACGAAGCACTAAGTTCCACGAAAAAACCCTATGTACTCTGCCCATCTCCTCATAACTTCCAATGCGGGCTCTGGGGCAGCTGAAATAGACTCGATGCGTGGCGCGATGGGTGCGCAGCCGAAGTCCAGGAACATAAGAAATCCCAGCACATAGTGAATAAAGCGCAGAGGAAGCCATCTTGGCCGATACTCGGGCCGTGTCAAAACAGCAGCCGCCAGAAACAGTGCTTCGCACACCACCTTCAAAGACGCAACCATAAATGGTTGCTCCATCTCGTCGCCGCCGAGGAGCACAAAAGCAGTGATAAACCCGGTCGTAGCCACAAGCTGCACGCCCAGAATGGCAACATGGCAGCGTTTCTGGTGAAGATAGGCAAACAGAGGCCAGTTAATCAGCATCAAGGCAATGAGCATAACACAATACCACATTTGGAACAGAATCGGGAATAGCTTCCCAGACCATGGACTGATCGTAAAGTCGAAGACTGGCCCCTTGCCTTCACAGATTTGTGCAGGGCTGGGGCTGGAATCTCAAGGTGCGAGGTTATCTTCGGAAAGCTAAGGGCGGGGAGGACACCTGCAAGCATACTATCCGTTGGACCGACTCCAACTGCCATCCAAGCACAATACCAAATCCTGATGTGTGCCTGCTGAAGATGGAACCGCCCAGAAGCCCGGAAGGGTGTGAGAAGGCTGGTGAACATGTTTCCACGGGACCCATCTGGCTGATCCGGCCGAGAAACATTCTGGACGCGAGGGGCCGCTTCCCGGGTCACATTCTGGATTCTGAGGGCCCAAGACCCACAAGACTCCGTTGAGCGCGACTCCTCAAAACACTTGTCAACAATCAGGGCAAGCTCGCCTGAACAATCCCTGCCGCAAATGACCTACGACTGCAGCCGCTCTGCAGGGACAACGGGAAGCCAAGTCAAGCTGAAGTGTGGCAGTCGGAGCAACAGTCACTCGAAGTTGGTCGACAGGCATTTTTTGGGTGGCTTCTCTCTGAAATGGGCCTGCTCGTTTAGCTGCAGATGCAACTGTGTGAATTAATGCCCTTTGCATCCCTGCTGGTGGGCAGTCCTAATAATGTGTAGATCGCAATCTTGCCAAAGCCGCTCGGCGCCTGCTTCAACGACCAGTGTGCAAAAAGCTTGGACAAGGTATTCCGACAACGTGCTCCAGCCGTCCACTCGTCTCGAATTTCGAGGTCAGATCACGCCCCAAGTGCAATCTACGTAAGAAAGGCTGTGGGTTGGGGCGGAGGCTGGCGCGGGCTGATGCAGAGTCGAAGCTTGACAGGCCATGGGCCTTTGAAGAACACTCTCCGGCGCTGCATGACACACGCTCGACTTTAGCCTACATGTTCCAGCAGGGCACCCATGCATCGCAGCATGAGAGAACGACAGTGGGCTGTCGACATTCGCAACAACCTTGATAAAATGTCGCAGCTTACCCTGGACGCACTTGCGACCACCTGCTGTCCAGTTTCTGAGCATTCGCTCCGTTAGACACTGCTCGCCCAGGCCCTAATCCTGCGATGGCCTGCTTGAAGGAGCAGGCAGAAGCTGCCCCCGAGACGTAGAAGAGCAAAGGCAGGCAGTACTGTCCTCAAGCTGTTTCTTTTGCTAGTCGGTCTTTCTCAGCTTTGCATGCAGGAACTCAGTCTGTAGCAGCAGATGCTGGGAGGGTGCTAAACAGGAATCTGGATGTAGGACAAAGCTACAGAAACATGCTGCCTTCTACCACTTGCTACAAAAGTCTTGGCATGCCGGCAAAGCTTTTCGGGGATCGTATGATCAGGTCAAACAGTGCCGAAGTGTGCAGACCCAGCAGGCAATTAATGATGTCTGGAGGGCATCCTGTCAGATCCGAGCATGTGCTTTGGAGTCCTTCCGGGCTTGAGTAAGGCAAACTTTGGAAAACACTCCTTGCCTCAATGTGGCCTTAGGTCTAAGGGCACCTGCGGGTGGTCAGGGGTGGCTCATGCGCATACGACGGAAAAGAATCCAGGCCAGGCCGTAGGTGTAGCTCTTTTCTGCGGCCCAGAGTCTCACTTCAGATATCCATCGGACGGCAAATGGGGATGGATTCCTCATGCTGGGCTCTTCCACATTGCGAACCCGGTGCCGCAAGGCTTTAGGTGTATGTGAGAGCTTCCGTCTACAACCGTTGCACTCAAGCCGGCCAGAAGCTACAAAAGAAGGCTGTGTGCTGTTTTGAACTGGGCAAGAGTCTCGTCGGTGTAAATCCTGTTATCCGGTGAGATCCTTGCTTGGACACCTCCCGGCACTCCACTACGTGATATGTGGGCGTAGACCACAAGAATCACCTCAGCTGAAAGCATCTAAAGAGCTAACCAGCCTGCAGGCCTGAAGCCATGGCAGCACCGGAAACAACAACCAGTGTCCATGAGTTCCATGAGATTTCAAAGCCGAATCAATACGCTCTCTTGTGGTCCAGAGAAGAACCGAATGCACACAGTCAACTCCAATCTCACAAAATCTCACCAAGGCGTCAGCCCGCTACCAAGACACCATGATGGCTCGAAACCAATCGAACTCGTGGAAGCGCTTCCTTCGAGCTCGGAAGTGAGGTGCCCGCTGCAAGAATCGAAGCAAAACTCGTCCCACTGGTGTACGTGTTAAGCGATACCGGCCACCCACAGCTAGCACTAGCAGTCCATGTTACTGCACGGCAGCATGCTGCAAAGCAGCTGGGTGAAATTCCGAACACACGCAACAAGCAAGTATGTACCACCATGAGGAATCAATCTTGCTAAGTTCCTCTGACAGCTCTCATAAGCTGCGAGCGGAGTCAGTAGATGGAGAAAACATAGCCGCACAGTCGGCTTGATTGCATTTTTGCAGGCTGGAGTCTTCTTCTCTGCCACCTTCGCTGGCGGAAGCTGTTCGGCATCGCTTTGCCTTCCAGCAACGGCAAGAAATATCTATCCCGTGATCGTGCACTGCTAGCCTGGCCACGCTTGCGATGCAGCGAAGCATCCGATTGGATATGCACACACGACAAATGCGCAAATTGAGTTGATCCAGGGCTGAGCTTCTTGTTTTTGTTTCGCTCCGGCATGAAAGGCTCGAAGGCCAACCCTGCCAAATCCCGAGCAAAACTACAGTCAGCAAGTCGGCAACTGGATTGTGCACAAGCATGGCCAACATGCTCCCAGTTAGTTCGGTGCACAACCGAACTACAGACATCACTTCATCAGGTCACACTGTGACACGATGTCATGACAACCAGGTGAGGCAGTAACTGCTGAGCTAATTGGTTCCGTCGGTGTGCTATAAGTTGTAGATGTCTGTCGTGTGATCAGCGAACCTCGACTCCATCATGATCGTGTGAGCATGCCGCATGTGATGTCCGCAGCGAAGTCAGGAAATCAAATCACTAAGGAAGCTGGAATGTTCGAGCGCCTACCACCAAGCCGACTGACCCAGATTCGGCACAACATCCTCTTTCTTCCGCCACAACTTGTATAGCTACAGACTTCGCTGAGCCCAAGACTCCATGGCCGGTGCAAGCCGTTGTGTCTCAATCGACCAACATTCTGCAGCTGAGAGCCACATGCTGCAAGGCAAAAAACGCATGATGGCAAGTGCAAGTTCAACCGTGCAGACTGCTGCTAGCTATTGCAGGGCAAAGCATCTTGCGGGCTGCGAGGGCACAGGACAAATCGGGTGCGAATGCATAAACACATCTACAAACGGGCATTCCCCAGCAGTCCGGGATTGTGTGCTCTTCCACGACTCCACGAATGCTGGTGGATGGGGCGCGTGGGCAGTGCTGCCCATCACCTGGTTATGCTAAGCTGAAACATCCTTTCGACGGCAGAACATACGTCACCTCAGTGCCACATTAGAACTTAACAGTCATGGTCCAGCTGATCCAAACGGAATTGCCGAGAGTATTCGAAAGTGCTTTTCATGGCGAGGGAGCAAAGCACCGTGAAAACCACACAGGCCCAGGCTGACCCGAAGGCACTGAAGTTTGCAAGTCTTCCGCTCTGTCTGGTCTGCACGTACTTCTAGCAGGACCGCACAAGCATGTCGGGAGAACGCCACATCGTTCGTGCCCCTTGATGTGTCAGTGACCTGGGAAAAGCGAAATCTAGGTGTGCCAAGCCTAGATTTTGGGATTGCGCTTCACTCAAGAGGAGAGCAGGCTTCTGTCGTGCTTGCGGTCTGTTCCTCAGGGCCCGACTGGACACTGCCAAGAACCGCATATGCGAGTCGAGAGGACATGGCATTCTGCAACAGGTCCTGTGTGCAGCTCCGCAATCCGGGTGAAAACACTAACGCTGACCTCTCCCTCCCTCTTGTGACTTAAATGAGCTTGTTCCGCTCGTTCGAGAAACAAGCTTGGCAGCTTCCTACTACTCTCGTGGCCCAGTCCAAGGCCAAGTTCTGCGTGGCAGCGGACATGCTCGCCTGGACATGTTTTAGGCATCACATCTTCAAGCAGGAGGGAGTTTAGTTCAGGGTGAATTAAAACTCAAATTTTCTTAAAAAAATGCCAAAGTTCCAGACGGCAGAATTTTTTGAGGTGTTTTGGAACAGCTACTGATGGACGACGCCGACCCACCTAAAGTCCGAACATGCAATCCATGCAGCCAGCAGAAAACTGGTGCAGACCCTTTGCACACGAGCATGCCTGAACCCTGCTAGCTTGGCGCAGAATCTATATGTGTGCGTGTGCCGTAATCACACGTTGACTTCGAAGCTTACCAGCCTGTCTGCCTCCTGTTGTTTTACATAATTTCAAATATGCCCAAGCACTGAGTCGGCAGGACAGCTCTTCATGTTGGAAGTGCTGCCAGGCTCCATGGTCTCAGTTTTCAAACCATGCAGGCCTGGAACCGCTTGAGGAAACGTTCGCCGTCTACGAGCGCTCGCAGCAGCTTCCAGTCCCCGCATGTGGCATGCGCCTGGCAACCCCGAACCCCCCATTCAGTGTTACACGCAGCATGATCTTCGGAGCGTGACTGCTTCTACCGTAGCATGCCGGTAAACATGATCACAGGGCAATGTCCGGAATCCAAGAATTGTCTTGCTATGCATACAAGCGGCTCTACATATCGCTGGCAAAAGTCCTGAGGGGCAGGCAGAGCCGTTAGCGGCAGAGTAAAGAAGTTGTCGACATCGGAAGTTGCCCATCCTGTCACACTGAAGGCAAGACTCCCCTTCGCACGTGCATGCTGGCTGTGGTCGCGATTGTGATTGCCGAGGCAAGGGTGGGGGGGGGGGGGGGGGGNNAGGGCGGTTGCAGTTGTATACGATTCGACATCGCATCGTCACCATCCGGCCATGCACAGGAGCCCTTTCAGCCGAGGAGAGGTATGCAGGTCGAGCCGCAAGCGTTGCTGCTCTGGAGTTCCCTGGAGCATCATCGCCTGGAAGCCAATCTGGGGTTTCGTTAAGCGCTCGACCCGCAAATACGAAAATCCTTTCTCTCCCGGGCCTCTGCACGGAAGGCATTCGCACACCCTTGACCTGAGCCACAAGCAGTTTATGGAGCCTCTCATGAAGCTCTCAATCATTCTGGCTAGCCTGACTTCAGTGGCAGAGACATTGCGACAGGCAGGCGGGTACAAAACACTGGACAGCGCAGCGGGATCAGGGGCGCCGCTGTAGCCGACCCAGCCCCACGGTGTCCGAACCTCACCGATTATCGACAGCTCCAATCAACCATCAGATGGTCAGGTACACACCTAGACGCAACACAGCACGGCACAAACGTCTTTGACCGTGTGCAATAAGGACTACGATATCTGATGCAAGCCTACTACTCGTACCAGTGGCAAGAAGATGAAACACAACAATTGCTGGCGCTGGCTTGCAAAAACTCAACTTCTCAGTAGCAACAAGCACTTATTGATCCGATGGCACTGTGCTGTTTGTTCCAAGGAGTCCTGAAGTACAGGCTGGCGTACATGCCGCAGTGCCAAGCTCCCAGCATTTTCACGCACTGCACGCTCAACGCATGCGGCCTCAGGGCAAGGTCAACACCGACTCAGTGGGAGGAGCTTCACATAGTCCCAGAAAGTTCCATGATGAATAACATCCCAGACAAGTGTTTTTGACCGTTCGCTGCCAACTACGGGGCAGGCATTGTAGTCCACAGACTGCAAGGTGGCGGTATCTGCACGAATAACCTGGCACAGCTATTACATGGTGCACTTGATCGTCGCGAATATACGCTAATGTCTGCCCGAAAGACTTTTCTGCCTCCACTCCTCGCGTCTGCTTCAAGCGCGTGTATGTGGCCGCCTCACTCACACGATCCCCAGCTCAAGAACTCATACGAATATGCATCACTTTAATTAGTGCGCTTTCCACAGAACCATCAAACCCTTTCTCGCAGCTTATCGCTGAGATTGTTAAATCCTGCACTCGAGACCTGCGCATGACGATTTGACCCCATCGCATTCTTTTACCTGGTTGCCCAGGCCCTGGCCATCTCTGTGCCCTTGGCACCCTCTGTGATGACCTGAGACTATTAAGACTCACACCAAGAAACTATGGATGTGCTGATTGATGCTTGTTGACGAAGAAGATGAAGTGCGCAGCTATGTCTTGGTGGGGGCTTACACGCTGTCGCTTGACTCAAGCGCCTTGCGTTCGCATGAGTGTTCAGTCTCCTGCAGCTTGGCTTGGAACACCCCTGTGGATCAGACAGCACTACCGAGAAACATGACAGATTTGGGCGGTTCGTTAAGACTTTCACAGAAGAGATCTCTCACCGAGGCTTCGGCTCCCATTGCCGAGACCACCGTGAAATCAAAGGGTCCAGGTGGCTCGTCCATGATCAGAGCTACAAGACCTAAAATCGGTCAAAAGGTCTAAGACATGCATGGACACATCTACTGCGGTCAAGTTTGGCCGTGCTCCTGGCTGTCGGCCCGGTACCTCTGGCGGTCTGCCGGCCTTGAAGTGCCACCACGGAAGCACGGGGAAAAGTCTGTTCCTAACGCCAAACTCTGTCTAACACAACCATGCATAGTCGATTCATTAGTACCGTTGATGAAGCCTGAGCTGAAGGCTCGTAGAACAGTACCTGGGTGGCTTCCCCCGTTTCTCACAGGGGCAACAACTCCCAATCAGCCTTTTCAAAATTAGTTCAATCTCGAGCAGTGGCTCAGTTTCACGGATTGCTAACCTCGTGCCTTTGCAGCATACACGCATACAAGCTCCACGAAGCAACGCGCCTCGATCAAGCAATCCACCAAGCACGCCTCGCTGGCGGGGGTGGTGGCCCACCTTAGCCGACAGTAGCCATCAAGAGTTGTCAAGATCGGTGCACGTAGGTTGAGCTCCCCGCAGTCGATCGCAAGCCTCCGAAATGCCTCTCCCGTTGGGTTCTCTCTTGTCAATGCGAGACTGATTTCGCAAGTTTGAGAGCACCTTCCCAGTCTGCAGTCTTCGATGCATGGCGTAGTTGTGCATCCAGCCATTTCCTAGTCAGAGTCCGAGCTGTGGAGCTAAGAAATGAAGATTCGGAGATATTCGGAGTGTCGCTGCTCCTTTACCTCTCCTTCCTTCCTTACTTCCTCCCTTCCTTGTCGCCCTTTCGCTAGCCCCGGATGTGCGACCGTGTGGCCGTTCCTGGTTCGGGATGTGTGCACAAGCCCCCACTTATCCGTTCACGTCTGTTGCTCTTCTCCCTTGCACCAGTCCTGGTCTCGTCCACGTTCTGTTGGACATTCCGCAAGACCGACACAATGACCAGGGCCTCGGCAGGGGCAGGGCTGGGTTGTGGAGTGCTGGGAAGAGTCAACCTGAAAAACACTCCGCAAATGGAGGGGCACTCCAGAACTCAGGGCACCACATCGTAGTTGCGTGCCCAGAACGCATGCAGCCAGTCGGCCCGCCTTCAGAATCGGAGCAATCCAACCAGAATCCAGGACAGCGGTACTGCGATGCGGAGCCAAGGTCCGTTTCAACATGGTCCTGACGGTTTCTCTCTCTCCGAGGGCAGGGCAGCACCTCTGGACTGGCCTTGGCACCACATGAGTACTCCCAAGCACTCAATTAAAGCAGTTTTAAGGGCCTTCTTTCATTCTAGTTCAAGGCTCGAAACCTCCAAAAAGCCCACCGTCCCAGCAAAGTCTACAAGATGGAAAATGCTAATAGGGACAGGCAACAGCGACCTAGCGTGGATTTTTGGGTGCTTGGTGCACTGTGCCCTGCTTGCACGCGCCAGCATGGGCTCGGCACTCGTCTTGTAGACAACACTCCCAAAGTCACAAAGCTGGCACACATCAGCACGAATGCAAGCCCATGCAAAACACCCCGAGTTTCTCCCGAAGAAAAGTTGTTTAATCCCACTCTGGCTGCAAGTCCCCCAGTCTGCTCATGATTTTGGGATCTCTCTACTCCTTTCTTTTTTACACCAGCACGGTCTCTGCGCAAAGCACTTTTTAGCATTCACCGTCAGCAAGCGAAGTCTCGGGGTCGGGCTGCCACGGCTGCACCACATGCCTTAAACGTGTCGAAGTAGAGCCTGTTGTGCAGGAAGCTTCCGCATCTATTCACAGCCTATGGTCTCCCTGCGTGTCGTCAGGGTCCCTGGTTAGATGATGTTGCCCGGATCCTTGCGGTGGTGTTGAAAGTCTATGGACTTTACAGGCAGCTTCCCAGGGACGGCCAACTTGCAATCCGATGCATCCGAGATTGCAAACTGTCACGGGAAGAGGGGGTTTGGGCTGCAGCCTCCCGGGCTTCTACAGTTTTCGATATCAGAGTCAGGGTAAAGCACATCAGTTACAGCTATGTGTACTTTGCGAGATGCCAAACCAACAAACCTAAAGGATGTCACGCCAAATAGGTTTACGGATTACTGTTTTCAGCATCACGCGTCCATTACTAGACTCAGCCAAGGAAAGCAGTCTTTGCTTATGAGTTTAACTTCGATGAGCTCTTTTCGATGGGCTCATGCGTCGGCACGCTTGACTTGCACGCTGCTGCGGGCCAAGTGGTGCTCGTCCATGAGCACGGGCTTGTAAAGCTCGCAGGGCAACACAAGGCTCGCAAGGGGCCAATGAAACAAAGGAATCCATCTGTCAGCATTGTGTTAGAAAGTCGGTAGCCAGTGAATCAGTAATGCGACGACCCCTTGTGCTTCTGCACACGGTGGGTGAGACCACGCCGACGCACTTCCCTCGCGACGACAGCCGCGCTGCTGTACGGGAGTCCGGTCATTCTTGGACCTCAGATGGGTCCATGGATCATCTATCCATGAGCGCCCGTCACGTCTCCTTTGGTCCATTTACTTTCTGTGGTAAACTTCAACCCGCCATTATCGACACCAAACCAAGTGCCGTCCAATGTGCGTTCTCGCTGAACGGCAGCGAGGTAGAATCAAAGCTTCGTCAACGGTTTCCAACCCATCTTCTCTTCAAATCGAGCCTGTTTCAAGGCAGTGAAGAACTTGAATGCCAAGGATGCTTGCAACATGTGGCTCAAGTCTGACAGTGTCAGCACGAGCTAACCGCCAGAGACTCGCACAGCAAACCAAACAGGCGGCACAACATTCCCCCACCAGCCTTCCACTGGAAGAAATAGGGTTCCTGACAAGACACCAAAAGGAGAACATACGCATGATGCCAGGGCAGTGCCCTCCTGCTTCGTCACACGGGGACTGTGCGAGCAATCGCGTAAACATCACTTGGCCGATGGACAACTTGGCGACTCGAAGAAGCGATTGCCGGGCATTTTCCCTAGAACAGCCTTGCCAAACGATCCGCTGCTGGATCCAGGCATGCATCTAATTCTGCAGGCCAAGGCACTGGGTTGTATCCTTCCTGACGCTTTACTCGGGGATTCAACGGCTCCGCAGCCTCTGAAACAAGAAACCAAGGGCAAGTTCGACTACGCAAAACACTGCGCAGCAGCTGCAAGATAAGCAATGCTACATGATATGCCTCAGTAGTATGTTGTTTTGTTGTGTGTGTATGCGAGGAAACTGCCTGAGCAAGATTCCAAGTACATACTAGGCCGATGATAGACCTGGCATTCCGCTCGGAGTGAAAGCAACGTAGGACAAACAGCGCAAATATACCGACTTTACGAACTTTACGTGGGACGGGATCAAGTCTAGTTTCAGCTGTGAAAGACATAGGAAGGCTGTTCCCACAAAGCTAATGGCGACTTTGAAGCATAATTCAAGCCTCGTGATTTCAGAAGGCATAGGTAAAATCTCTAAGGTACCACGTCGTGTCTGGAAGTCAACCGGGAGCGGTTTCTCAAATTGATGCAGTGCCATGTGGATGTCAGGTGCAGTTGTCGGACTGTTGGTGTCACGCCTGAGTCCGTTGGATACAACTTTGCAGTGGAGTGTTGTTGCCTTCTACAACTGATGTGTATGCATCTGTATACAAGCTTGTGTGCGAATGTGTGTGTGTGTGTGTGCGCGTGTCTGCCTTTATAAACTCTTCTCCTAAAGGGAGTGAATAGCGACAACATGGATCAACGAGTCTGGGCTCTATCATGCTGATGCACCAAAAGAAACCACTCGTCGCAGAGGAAAGCATCCAAAGGTCACGGAAACGAGCTGCAATTTCATGCCTGGTTCATGGTTGTGGGTTGTGATATACTGATGGTGTAAGAACTGCCCATAGAGAAATTTTCTGATCATCTGGATGCAGCGATGTCACGTCTTGGGGTGTTAAGGGCCTGCGGGTATTTTTACACATGCATTGCCAGAGTCGCAAAGTAGTTGTCCGGCACAGCCAGCACTTGTTGTATCCAGATCACAATGTCTTGGAGAAAGTTCCACGAATCCACCCAGCACTCCGACACTGCATGAGCCCGAATCAAAGTTCGTGTCTGTGCATCTTTTGCCGAGGGGCAAAGATCGAGAGGAAGAGTAGGGAGCCAGCGGCATACGCGCAGATCTGACAGAAACTCATGCCACGAGATTTGACTGACTCTGTCGACCAAGCCCAAGACGGCGGGATGCACAGACATGGCCGAGAAGAGAGGGAGGGCTAGACGAGCCGAAATAGCTTCAACGTCGGGTTGCGTTCACTGAAAGTCTCTGCTAGCAAGCAACTGCAAGCTTCTGCGGTGATCTCAGGAGCAGCAGGCTCTTGCCTCTCTGCGGTGGCCCGAAGTTGGGGCTCTTCATGACCGCATTTGCCTCTGTCTGCTGAGGCGTATCTCCCATGCACATCTTGAAGTCTGAGACGCACAACAGCTTAGCACGTGCCAGCAGCTGCTAGCAGCTAGCAGTCACAGAAAATCTCAGCTGCCAGAGGTTGCCACTCGTCTGAGGCTCGTCAAGGCACCCTTCGTACCTGCAGGCGGAATCCTAACCCAGAAGTTCATCAGCTTGTGTTTATGACATTCCCTGCGGTCTCGCTGATGTTCGTCTGTGGCTTCGAAATTTTTCCACGCTGCAGGCTTTTGGTCAGGACCAAGCATCGGGACCTGCAAGGAGAGTCCTGGAAGCAAGCCGTTACCGACTTATGGACTGATGGCCACAGGCAGCTCCACAGCCTTGGGTGCTTCGTGACGTAGACACCAATGTAGATCCATGTGGCCAAGCGCATGTTGGAAGTGAGTCATGGATGCGACTTGCTAGCAAATCCGGATCTTGCCGTGTTTGCCTGGCCATGCCATGCCACGCCCCGGCTGGCATTTGCCCTGTACTCGTCCTTGCACGTAGTTGTCCTTCTCCCGGGCTCGCGAGCACGGGCCGACGGGCTACCCCGGAGGAAATGCTTCGGCTGCATCCAGCGACGGCCCCCAATGCCTTCGAACCCAGTCATGTAACTCCACCACTTCCTAAGCTTGCCAGTGCGAGGAATCGGGAAGCATCGGATTCTTGCATGTGAATTCCGGCCACTCCATATCTTGCTGCTCAGAGTCGTGCGGCTTTGGGCTTCTAGGAAAGGTCACAATCGCGCCTGGCAGACATGTGCAAGACAAGCCATGGAGCGATTTCTGGCTTCTTCAGTGGGTGAGAGAAGCACAGCAGGCCGGTCGGAAATCCCGAAAGTGCAGCGCCGTCTGGGCCTTCAGCCAGACTGTTAAGAGTCTGTACCAATACCGAACACCCCTGCAGATGTTGCGAATAAGTTACGGGTCCCTCAGGCCCGAAACACATCAAATCGCAACGTTCCGGCATGCTTCATGTTCCCTTACAGAGACATCGCCATAAGTGCTAAATCACATCTGGATTTTCGCGAACTGTGCCAATCGATTTACTGGTTCTCGGTCTTGCTGTACATCGTATGCTTCATCTTTAACGCGATAACCCTGTGCGCCGCAGTGCACCTGATAGTTGTAAACACTGGCAAGTCTCTCCGGTTCATGCTTTGCGTGTAGATTTTGACAGGGTGCATCCGGCCGGAGGATCGTCCATGTTGAGCACCTGCCGCCAATCTGCCCAATTATGTTGCAACACGCCTGGTCTGCTTCCTTACTGTACGTGCTAGGTTGAAGACTGCAAGATTCCGAAGTATTCGTTGCATCCGTTACTAGTGGCCCTGCCTACCAGTGTGACAGAAATAAAGACCGCTATGTTGGTCTGAGCCGGCCTCCTTCTCTTCTGATGTGCTCCCGACTGCCTTCAAACGCGAGAGCATGTCATCGTGCTTCCCATGATGTGCTCACAACGCATGGCCAGACTGAGCCAAAGGACAAAGCTGCTGTCATCCGTTTCGCATCCGAGACAGACCTTAGATCGAGGCTACCACAGGCGGGACGTGAGCACATGCTGAAGGATTTGGCAAAGGTACCCCATCTCGGAAGACAGTGGTATAGTCCAGGATCTGCCAGGAAGAACCGGTGGATTAATTAATTCGGGAAGGTCTGGTGGGATGCTGGCCTTGCCCGGGAGGAGGTTCTGCCATCGGTCGGCGTCTTCTACCATCATCTCCAGCCAGTGATCAAAGCGATGCACGAATCCTCGGGCGTGAAAGAACTGAGGCGAGACGGTGGCACAACCGTTCGTGCATCTGGGTCTCTGAGGACGGATGGCGACAGGCAGTCGTAGAGCTGTCGGAAGAAAGGCGAAGCTCTCCAGCAGATCACTGACGAGTTGTATCCTGCTCCATTCGGAATCGCAAAGTGGTCATGTTGGCCCTACTGCATGAGTCCATGTCTCAAAAGTGAGCATCTGCTAATGCGTGCATCGGTTGCTCCGTACTGACCTGCAACGACCTGCATCATGTGCTGGTCCTAGCTTCTTACAGCCAGAACACGGGTCTCCTCCGAGGGCCAGCTCGCACGCGACGTCCTGTGCGAGCAGCTACTGCGAGCCCCCTCGTTGCAGTAGGTTGCCGTGCCGTCACCATCACTGAATCCCGCTACAACCTGTTCTCATGCTAGAACTTGAACTACCTCCTCATGGAACAGGCATAACACTACAGCAATCGTGGAAGTAGCAGAAAGAAGTAGCTGTACGTACGGGCGCGGCCTTGAATTTTAATTATGAAGCTTTCAGGTGCTATCCCCATCTTGGGATCTCATGGCATGTCAGGCTGTCCTCTGTGCCAAGCAAGGCAAATGCCCCACTGTAGGCAGCGAGCGGATCCAGGTCCTTGACAGTTGCGCTAGGTAAGGATCGAGCCCATAGACCCTCCGAAGCAAGACAAAGGCTAAGGCTTAGGTGCCAAGACTACATTGCAGCCGGTTTTCCCCAAGAATGACCTGGTCAAGATCCAAGAATAGAACTCCTTAGGTGGCAGTGCAGTCCTCGCCAGTAACACAGCCCAAACCATGCATAGTTTACGTGCACAGAAGTACTTTGTGCACCTTGCTTGGCTGGACGAGGAACGATTCCCATCGAGTCCCGCTTCTTCACTGAAGAGGTAAGCCTTACCCCACCATAGCGGCAAACCTGGTGATCACACAACTCTGTGCAAAACGGAAGCTGAGGTAATCGAAGATTCAAGCCCATGCAGGCAAAGATAGGCTGGAGAAAACATGGGCAACTTGATGTCGAGCCGCTAGCAGGAAGGGGCCGTGCTTCAATGCTGTCATCCAATCCTGCTGGGTCCTGCGTTGGCTGCGCGTGAAATGTAGCATGTGGCGTGCCTGCTCCTCAAAAAACGCAAAACGCAAAAGATCCAGGACTCTGTCGGGAACTGCTTGGAGCAAGTTCCACATCTTCCGGCATATGATTGTGTGGTGCTCGAGCTTACGAATCGCACATGTATGACTGTTCTTGATTGTCAATAGCTGCAGCCTGAAGAAACTGTGGGTCTCACAGTTTATGCACATATGCGTCAACTCCTCTGTGAAGCACACAAAACGCGCAGGCATTCGTAGATGTCGGCGCGAGGCCGCCCAAAGTCGGTTGACATATACAGAGGAGTAACCTGCGATACAGCCACAGCCACGGCTTGATCCCCAAACATTGGATCTCAAAATCCCAAATGGGGGGCCCTTCTCAAATGTTTGCTCAGTCAACGCCAAGCATCGCTTGCCCCACTTCAGGCAGGCAACGACCTGGAAGTCGAAAACACACGCTCGGTAAACTTTCATACGGCTCGTAGCAAAGCATCCGAGGAGCGAGTGACGGCTCTGGGCCCGGGTCCATCTCCGCGCCAGCAAGCTTGAGTGGCATGGGCCTCTCCTGGTCTATGCTGTTCTTGCTGTGGGGCATGGACTGCCAAGTAAGAGGAAACCACGCTGGCCCAGCAGGATCCATCGTTCAACAATTGCAAGCAGTCTCAGTCTTCCCCAGGCCCGGCGCACCGAGCGATCCTAGAATGCCACACTGACACATTGACACACATATACATGACACGCCCATCACTGAATCTCAGCTGGCCTTCATTCTCCCAACAATGCAAAGAACATCGGTGGAAACTGCTGGGCCTTTTCTCCAGCAATGATACATGTGCAGGTTACAGCTTGCTGCCACCCAGCTACCTTTCTTTCGCCCTCCTGAGATTCGTGGTGCAAGATGCGCTCCCACACTGCCTCGACAGCTTCTCTACGACGTCCCAGGTTGCCTCAGCGGAGCAGCAGGTTTCATGTTCGCAAACTGATGAAACTGCGACCAAGTTGCGCAGCGCGTTTGCCAAGTTCATCACCGCCTGCTCGAAAACAAAGCGAGCAGTGTCTCCATGTTGGGAAAAGTTGTCTGGACTTGCAAGTGGCCTCTCGGCTGTCGGGCTCCAGCTCCAAGGCCTTCATGTACTACCGCAACAAGACGAGGAAAAAATTCTCGAGACCTCAAAGCCTTCTGCTGTTACGCGACCCTTGACATACTCTCACCTTGCGACAGTGGGCTTCGGCGGACTCGCAGCAGCCCAGAGACAGCTCGACACCTGTTCCACGGTTGTGTCGCCGCTGAACTTCGACATAAAGTCTGTTGCGGATGGTAACTATTAGGACATCGATACGATTCAATCACGAAGTACACGTTCCTTGCATCCGTGTTTTGCCATGCTGTCTGAACAGTTTCCTGGAACTTGCGCTTTTGACGCCCCTCGGCCTGCCAGGTTGGTCCACGCACCGGCCATTCGCGGGCACCGTTGCACTGCCGACTCGAACGCGGCGGCAGCCTGCAAGCGACCATGTGCTAGTTAATTCCGTACTGGAGCTTTCCGTGCCTTACCGGGCTATCAGTCAAAACATTTCAAGACGCAGCTGAAGTTGATGTGTTATTCTCCACGGTTTGGCAAAGATGCCTCCTGCCAACGGCGGAGCTTCGCCAAAGCTAATCCGCGACCAAAGTATGCTTGACCAGAGGGAACGATCCTCGGAATTGTGCCGACCCCTGCATCCTGGAAGATGCCATCTGCACAAAGTGAACACAACTGTGCATGACGGAGAAAGCCTTATTACGGGAGGAAAAACATGCTCCAGCCAGACAGTCCAGATGTGGATATCGCAATTTTTGCTTGTCTGCTGCTGTTGCATCTCCATGCGCCAAGCTGCGCAAGCGAAGATGCAAAGTGCTCTGCCGCACCTGGCCGGGCCGGGACAAATTGATTTCTCAGTGCTCCGCTTCCTCTGCACGAAGGAGTCAAGTACGGCTTTCGTGCATTATGCTGATTCACAAACATGGGACTCTTCCTGTACAGCTTGTGCAGGTGCACATCTTGAATCGCAGCGATGCGCGCTCGAGCTCAGGAGCTGGCGTTCATGTTGGCCGGCCTGGAGCATTTCTCTAGGCTCGTTTGGCCGGGGTTCCGGGACGCTGGATCTCTGAGGCGGGATCTCTAACTCAAGGCGGGGATCTAAAAGTAATGGCACGAGCATGGCCAAAGCGTGCTACCGTTGGAACAGAATGCGTTCGCGTTTCCGCCTTCTGCAGCAAGTTGGCCCATTTCACATGCCTCAGTTCGCAGTTTGCGCACGTCGCGACTCGTACTAAAATCCGCGAAAAGGAACCTTGCCTGTCCCAATTGCTCTCGTGTAACATGGTGCATGCTGCCCAAGTTGCAGCAAAGCTTTGAGAACTGGATTCTTGGCGACCGTGGGCTCCTGACCAAATTCTGGGCACGATGGCACAAGTGCTCGCAAGTGCCTCATGTGGCTGTGATGGTGATATACAGGGGCTTCGACCGCTTCACGATAGCCATCATCTTCGAGGAGCGTCTAACATCGGACTCATGCATGACTGACAAGCGGTCGCCTGCACAGCTAGGTTGCATTTCATCAGGTGCAGGAACTACTGGAGAGTCTGCCGACAGCTTGCCACAGCTGATTCGTCTGCCTCCTCCCCGACGGGGGCTGCCATCGGGGTGGTGCTATGACCTGCGACAGCACTGTCAAAAGGCCATATGCTGTAAATGCTGATCGGAGATCATTGCACTCATGTGTTGTCAATCGGTACGGCCCAATCTGAATCTGAAATCACGTGTCTCGAACGTATCATGTCTAATATCAGGTATGACTTCACAAAGAACCTCGAAGGTGGAATGTTACGGGTTGATGCTGAGCTCCAGCTCTCTGCCTGCTTACCTTACCCGCCGTCCCAAAGCACATTTCCTAGAATCTGAGCAGCGCACCATACCCTCCACACTGCAGCGTTGGAGGGCGCTCATCGTCCATTGCTTGCTTCTTGCTGTGGCTTTCACTGTAGTGACTATAGTGACTTAGTGTCGGTGACTTGGCAAGCACTTTTCACGGCTGATGCTACTTTTGACTTTTGTGTCACATGGCTATCTAGTTGCAGCAATCTAACATGTTCGACTTTCTGAATTGTGGCGTGACTTTGCTCCAGCACGACCCAAGCTGCACGCGCAGGTTTGACTTCACAGTAGTCGTTCGATTCGCACGTGGAACGAGTCCTCTCCGACTATGCAACACACACTGCAGCAATCTGCAGCAGGCCCATGGTCTTCTTGTTGCGGGCACCAGACAGGCCCGCGTTCGCGCAGCCAAGCGGCACCCGCCTTGTCAGCCTCCTGGGCAGATGCAGCAACACTGAAATGACTGCATGACGCTCAAGCCCAGCGCTGAATTTGTTGGTTTACAGAATCAAGCTTACGGCTTCTCGTAAACGTAATAGGAAGCTCTTCGACTCGTCTGACAAGCAAAAGCCAAGTGCTATGGGCAATCACGGGTCCTTTACGGGATTAATTCCAACAGACCCTGCGTCTCTTTTCCATGGCACAGGTACTGCCGGATGGCTGGTTCACCGGTCGATACTCAGTGGATATGCGATGCGGAAGGGCATCCGCCCGTAGCTCCACACAGGCGCGTGGCCAGATGAGATGAAAGTTTGAATTGCCACTGTTTTCAACAACATAGAAGAAGTACTCCAATGCCTCTTCCAGTTTTGCTGAAGTGATGTTCAAGAAGCCTGGCAGCAGAAGCATTTGGACGCGATGGTCAGAAGAAGAGCCAGATCGCACACGTACGATGGGTCCATGGAGGGACTGGACGGCACCGAACTTCGAGGGGCACTGCCTTTTGCCCCGCGCCCGGCCTTGTAGGACCTGCACCCGGAGATTACGACCACCCATTCCATCCATAGAACCCATAGTGACCTCGATGTTGCGTAAGCAATTTCCACTTGTCCACAGCAGGACCATTCCGATCGAGTCGGAAGGAAAAACCAAGATGTCTTGTATCAGGTCGGCACAGCCTCCGGAGCGGTTCACGTGCATATTGAATTCTGGTGCCATGCAATAAGGCCCACCACAGGCACCAGCTGCAGAAACGATCCCATGTTGACAGTAGGGGTGTTCGTGATAGAAGTCTCTCCACAAGTGGTGGAGCTCACGGCGTACAAAAGCAATGTCCTCTTCGTGGAAAGGGTACGGCAAAGCACCGGTCCTATTGCAAGCTGGAAGACTTCGTGTGTCGGCGAGGATAAATCCCAAGGCCCTCATCTCAGTTTGTACCTGGTCACAGCTCGCCTGTCCTTCGTAGAGTGGTGCTTCGAAGGTTCCTTGTGTCTCCATGACAATAAAGAGAAGCTGTTTCAAGTACGGCCCAGCTGACTTGACGACATCCAGGTCACTGCCTTGTGCATCAATCTTCATGCGTGCAATGGGACGGCCTGCTAGCCACTCACCAAGCACAATCGCCAAAGAAATGCACGGCACATCCCTGCGCTCAGCCAAAGCCGTGCAGTTTTCCTCGACCCATTTAGGCCAAGACTTGGTGTACCTCGTCAGGAAGAGAAAACAAAATTGTGGTGAGTACATGCATGCGTTGATCAATATTTGTTGATCTTAATTTGGTTCCTTGCGGAACTTGACCTTCCTTCGCGGGCCTTTCGTGCAGCATATTTGTCTGTGGAGTTCGGGATCGAAGCTGAAAGATTTTGGGGGATTCGGGATTCTGCTTAGCGACTGCAAGTCGTGAGACATGCCAAACTTCGACATGTCCGTCGCGGAGCTTTCGTGCACCGCCTACTGAATTTTCCCAAAGGACCGTTGTATATGAAACCAAAGACGGGGACAGCTGAAGCACAAGATGTAATTGCTCCTGTTCTTTGCTGAACTTGGCCCGGACCGGCCTCGTTTCGTCCATGTTCTTTTGCTTGAAGTCACTTGCCGGGGCTCGTAGGCTACTACAGCCATCAATCGGCGCCACATGAAATGTGGCTGTTGGGCCATCGCAGGTACTCACTGCATAAGGCAATACCAGGGCCCGCCGATGCTGAAGCCCCAGATTCGCGAAGTGCATGCTGGGGGCGCCGTACGCCAGCAAGAAGCCGTACTTGTCTAAAAGGGGCTCGAAACTGATCAGAAAACCACCAGCATCCCCGGATTCGGATCGATCTTGCAGCATCGGCTCCAGGAAGTCTCGCTCTAACTCGTGGTTGTTGGCTCCCACCTCCAGAAAGAACGAAGAAGGATCACCATCCAAGTGCTGCCAGTTGCGCTCGAAGGGCATGTAAGCCACCTGCACATCTGCAAAAAGGCCTGACGCCGGAGTTGCGGGAGCCATGTTGGGCAACTGGAGGAAAGGCCGAAACAAAACCGATCACGTGCTTGAGCATCTGGAGCCAGGTGCAACCTCCAGCGACGGCCGGAGGAGTGACACTACAGAGTGCTGCGACGTGCGCAAGCGGGTCAAGCTACTCCAAAACCCTGGCTTCACCTACCCTCTCAACATGAATCACTAGCAGAATGCAAAACAGAATGGTGGTCGAGTTCTATTCTCGACAGTCCGAATTGTCTGGATGCAGAACGGGCTCTTGCAAGAGCCTTCAAAATCTTCCCTATCAACCTTGCGCTGGGTGGGCGCGTCAGTGTAGCCCCCCAGGCCCTAGTCACCAGCTTGTCAGTCTCCCTCCCAGAGCATGCTACGCGTGTTCTTCATGCAACCTCATTCCCGAACAAAGGGCAAGAGGCATCGGCATTGCCTCAATGAACTTCAGCGCCGTGGAAATGGCACGCTCAGCGGTGGGCAAGGGCCTAGTCTCGGGTCTGTCTCTGCGGGCACACACCAACCGCACAACCACACGGTACCGAGGTTCCAGCGTTTCGCGGACAGCTGGTATCGGCACCTGCTCAACATCTCCCAACATCCCATCTCAGCAATCTCGTTCTTTGTGTCGCGTTGGAGCTGCAATGGTTAATCGCTGATGATGTGCCACAGTTCTGGCACAAACCCAGCCTCGACCCTTTGCAGCCAGTTTTTCAAAGCCTCAGCTTCTCAGGAATTCTCTCCTCTCCAGATGCGGCCGCATGCGTCTGCTGCTCTTGGTCTCGAATTGAGGGCCCCGGCCACGTAAGGCTCACACTCCTGCAGGCTGAGCCGCTGAATCTGCAAGCTTCTGAGGGTTGTCGGCCCGGGCCCGAGCGCCTCCAGGACGTGCTTCGCTGCACGGTGGACAAGGAGTAAGTAAGATCGGCTTGCGGAGCCTCGGGAGATCAACGCACCAGCTACCAGCTACCGTTGAGACCATGGCGATCCTCGGAGCCTGGCTGCCACCGGCCATGAAGTCAGACCTTCGCGGCATGCTTACGCCAAGCCTCGCAAGACTTTGCAAACTGAGGCAGAATTGCGCCAAAACTGGGCACAGCTCATGGTCTTGCATATCTCAGACATGTCCATGCTATCTGCTCGCAGATTCGTGATTGGCGGTCTGCCACTGCGCCGTGGACCAGAAGTAGCAACGCCAAGCTCCACGCGCTTGTGTCAAGAGATCTGCCACGTCTAGACCTGATCGTGGCTGTGATCGTGTTGTTTCATTTTTTTGAGGATGTGTCCTAAGTCTTCTCTGGCAGTCCGACTGCTGCATAGTTCTGAGAATGGATCGCGCATGGGGTCTCACCGCGTCTTGCTTGAGATCCTTGGCAGCCCATGACACAGACTCTCAGTCCGCAGAAGCGCAGCTTGGAGAACTCATTGAGACAACTCTGACCTCAACTGCGAGCAATGCTGCATCAGTGAAGTGCAGAATGACGCGATAGCTGCCCTCTTTTGACGACGGACGAGGCGTAACGCCACCTCGCAGTGGTCTGTCCAAGGGAACTGGTCGAAGAGGCAAGCTGCTTGGATCCTGCGCGAGTTTTCCCGTGGTGTTTCTGTGCTCGTCGTACACTTCCGCGCGTCCTAGACTTGAGGTATGAGCCTGTTCTGCTAGCCATGAGAGCATGACATTTTTCGTGCGAACGTTCAACCGATCAGGGAAGTTGGGAACCTTGCACCTCGAAGTGCTCTGACAGCTCCGTCCGATTCTCGGGGCTGGCTGTGATGGGTCTGAAATCTCTCGAAGGTATCAGTTGTCGTGTTGAGCTTGGGTAATGTCGGCGATGCCAAGCTATGAGAGAGGTTGGGTTGTAACCATGAGACATCTGGCATCACTGCCGAATTCAACTTAGCTTTGCCCACCCTGGCGGCAGGGCAGCGGCAGCGCAGGTTTGGCCTCGTCCGCTGGCTGTTATGGATCTTGCCAAACTCTCAGAAGCTGGGTCCGACTGACCATCGGTCTCCCCAGAAGCAGGTCTGACTACCACTAGATGCACCGCACAAGGTCCTGTGACTTTGCAGGGCTTCAAGATCGCGTGCCAAAGACCTGAGACCGCGAGGCAGGCCGTCAAACTGCACAACGAAAAGCAAATTTCGCAGCCTTGGATTGCAGGAGACGTAGATCAAGTTTTCGAAGCTTTCCACCATCGCCCGGGAACGGTCATCTAGCCCGGAGCCTCACTGCAGGTGACGTGAAGGTGTGTTCAGACCCTTGGTAAATAACCACTGGCATCACAAGCATTCCCCAAATCTTGCTCTCCTGAAGGCCGAGAAACGCGGAGGGTCCACAAGCAGGGTGGAGAAGTCGTAAGGGCCGACAGGTCGGATTTGGCTCTCCTATTTGACGACCAAGCATCCAAACAAGCTCCAGACAGAAAACCAAACTGCGAGTGCTTCTTCCTCATGGCCGAGTGGCCAGAACCAAGCTCTCCGCTCGGCATCTGCGAAATTGTATATTGTGGACATCCTGAGATCTACATCGCCCGGAAGATAACTCGCTTAGCTCACAAACACTGCTCCGTGTCCTTGAAGGGGCCTCTTTGGGAGAAACTTCGTCTCAGGGTATCAGTATTCGGGTTCAATCTGCGCAACGAGACTTGGGTCTTCTTGGCTGAATCAAGAATCCGCCTTCTTCGCGCATATTTCTGCGCCTCTCACTGCTGGCTTGTTTATCTCATTGGCGAGCACACGGCGGAAGTTGCGCGCAACAGGCAGTGTGAAGTTGCCGTTGCCGCAGTACCTGATCTTGTTGCTGTGCGTGACAGTGACAGTATTCAGTGCCCATCCCAGGCCATCCCCTTATCTGCTTCGATGCATTTCCAGGAGGTCGCGGGCTTCTCCTTCGATTTGTGTCTGAGCAGCGACCCAGGACTGCATCTCCCGATTCAGGTGGAGGTTTGCTTGGAAGAAGCTGTTCTCCATGAGCCTTGTCTTCGAGGCCAATACTGCAGGGAAGCATGAGCAATCTCCACCCTCACACTGATGCAGTGTGCCAAACAGCATGTATCATTAAGCGCCTCGCCATTGAGGGTAGGCTTTGCCCTCAATCTCGTTCTCCTGTGCTCCGGGCTTTTGCGAAGTAGGCCTATGTGAATGACCCAAGAATGCAAGCATGCACAGCCTGCACAAGCAAGCTGCCGTGTGCTGGCCAAGCCAACCGCTGACCCTTCGCCTTAGATGTGGCAAAGACAAGACGGCCATGAAGTCGCATGCTGTAGCTTGATGATGAATCGAGTCGAAACGCACCTCTTTCTCGCTGATGCGACTGCTGCCATGTTGCCCGAAGCACCACCACCGCATCCAGAGCGACTGCTGCCTGTTGGGCTTGCAGCTTATCATCCTCCAGTGAGAGTCTCCTGGATATCGAAAGGCAAGCAGGGCAATCATGAGGAGACTGCGCATGGGACCTGTGATAAAGGATGCAGGCGAGCGCTTCGTCTCTTGTTGTGGAGATGAGCTCGACCTGGAAAGCTTTCTCCCGCAGCCTCAGTCCAGCAATGCATATTGAAGGTTCGCCACCGCACTTTGGAGTGCTGTCCATGCAGCACTCATGCAGCTGCCCCTTACGCCCTCCAGGTTCAGGTGATTTCTTGTCTCTTCTTTTCTCACTACTATATGGCACGTAGCATGCGACGCGGACAACTTCACTTTCCGACGTAAGACGTAAGCCTTCGGTTGCTACACCACGCCCACTCCGAACACAATAGTCCCGACACGCTAGCTCACAGATCCAGTGCAACCCAGCAACTTGGACTCGTGTGTCAGTAGGTCGAGCAGATCTGACATGAGGCGGTTGATGCGTCGGGAAGCCAACGGATAGGAATCGACCTTTGCCCCCACCCTCTTGATGGGTCTCTTTCAGACCAGGATAGAACCAGTGCGTGCAGATCGAAGACAAGCAGCAGCCAGCCACTCTGTACTGTCAGGGTCAAACACGACGTAGCGTACCTGGCTCAGGTCTGCAAAGTGCAGCTTTAGTCCTGAGCCTTTCTGTCGGCACCAACCCACAAAACGTGGGATACCTGGCACTGAGTCGAGCGTACTGGCTAGTAATGGTGGGTTTTACATACGTGTATAGAGAAAGAGCAACAAAGTCACGCAGAAAATGTGAATCCCGAGACCGCTTGCAAAACGGACCCCAACACAATATATAAAACAACTTGAAGAATTCACACTGTGCACCAGGATTGTATTGTTATATATTATTTTTGTTCGGTTTTGTGGCGGCTATTTCCGGTTGTTCCGCCAGGTCCTAGAAGATGCTGCGTAGTACCAACTGCAGGTACAGCTACGGAGCATGACGTTTCGGGATGTATGGGAAGCACCATGCTCGCACACAGCAGATCTTCTGTAAGTACAGGACTCGGGTAGTGTTCAGCGGGCGCACCTTGTCGCCGTCGTGCTGCAAATCGAACTTCACCCGGTGCCGGTAGTGGAGAGGTTCCGGAGATGCCACCACTTCCAAGCCTCAAGCGGGTTGGCCGCAGCCCATCGCAGCATCGCAGCCCGCATGCAAGCCTGGCCTCGGTCCACAGCATCTTCGTCCAAACGCTGCCCGAGCAGCCGCTGCACAACATCCACCTGCGACGAGGGCACGCTGGCAATAGCAATCTCATTCGGGCGCGCCCTCGATCCTCTTACTTCAACCCAGAATCCAGGCACAACCGGAATGTCAAACACCCTGAGCCTTCTCAGACAGGTCCGAAGGGTAGTCATCTGGGTCCGGAGCTGTGAGGGGTGGACAGCGAGCCTTTGGCTCTGCCGGGTCCCCGTCCTCGTCAGGAGTTCTCGTGCACAGCTCACAATCCAGGGAGTTGCCAAGGAAGACAGTAGCTTCTTGGGGACCTTCGACTTGTGAATCGGGCCAGGCCACGAGTGCTGCGTGCGAAGATCTCGGCCACTTTTTCTGCGACAAGCATTCCGCCCTTATGTCTGTCAAAACCCGAGATGCGAGGATAAACTCTGAATGAGGACAAGCTTGCCAGCACAATGCCGTCTTCACAAGAACAGTCGACACAACTCACAAGCCACCCTTCTCTCACTAAGACCAAAACATGATGCACACGCCCCATTTTAAAATTTTCGAATGAGTTGCAGTCAGCATTGCCTTTGTCATGGTGTCGGGGCCCCTTACTGTCTACGACGCAAGCTGACACAGAGTCCGATCCTAACTCTTTTCGGTGAATAGTACGGTTTTTCCTTCATGTAGTGTTGTATCGCACATCCAGGGCTTGCCATTGCCAGCAGCTTTGTGTGCATGAACAGACTGGGTCATTGCGGTAGTGTTTGGCCGCCGACTCTAGCACATCGGTCTCTGCTCTATAACTCGCTCAGTGCCACGTACCCGTTCCACGCACCACCGTTCCAGATTGAAAATTAGGGCCCCGGCACTGGTTTCCAGCCGCTTTCGGCGCCGCCAGAACCGCCGCATCTCCTTTCTGAGACGCTCGTCAGCATGCGACGGCTGTCTCAAGTCGTGTGTCGTGCTGCGGTGCAAATTCTGGCTTTGGCTCCTTCCTTGGAGAGTCGGAGACTTGAAGGTCCACATCCGACTCGGAGCTTTTACAGCCTCCATCGCGACCGCGACGAGTGACCGGCCGATGACACCAATTGCAGCACCTCGGAGCCGAAAGGCATTTGGAAGCTGCACTTGGTCGAAGTCGCTAGAACATGTTCATGCCACGCCGCACGCATTGAAAGAACAGTGCCGACCGGGCACGAGGCTCCCAGGAAAGCCAATGAGGCAAGGCTCTTATGAGACCGTGAAGCACGGTCTGGGTTCCTTTGCACGGAACGGGGCGGATGGAACGCCCTGGAGAGGCAGGCGCGGGCCCTGGCCGGCACAGGCTGCAACGCTGCCATGGAAATCATGCAAGCCAAGGACTTTGCCTCGGCATCTGTGGGCTCTGCATGGGATACATGGCACTTCTTCTGCGACAGCACTGGGAGGTTTGCTTACCCCTATCTGTATGTACTTCTTGCCATTTCTTGCTGGCGGGCACAAGTCACACCGACGGGAAATCTGATGCTCAGCGCAGGACTTCACCCAGAATCGCAGCTCTGCAAAAGAACAAGGCGAACTTGCTGACGATCATCGGTCGGCATTGCACACTTCTTGCAGACCCACCGTCCGCTTTTCGCTCGAGGCGCTCTTAGCCTGTAACCGTGCACGCTTCCGGATAAAGCCTGCAGCGGAACGTCGGGAGCTCTTGAGACACAAGATGACACAAGCGAGATGCTCTCTGCTTCGTGTGCGTCCGCAATCCTCCGCACACCCAAAGCCCAACATATCCCAACGCATCTTCTTTGCTGCTCAATCCC